AAGCAGTGGGGCAGCCAGCAAACATTTTCAGTGTCCAAGCACCTCCTCCATGCAAATGCTTTCTCTCAAGCATGTATATGGCATGCTTTGTCTCAAGCATTTGGTAAATGCAAATCTCTACTCCACATCTTCAGCAGGCTTCAAAATGTTGTTTCTCATATCTACCAGCTCTGTTTTGGACAATGCCTGGGCTTTGTCCCAAAGAAGGTTGATAACTTCTTTGTGCTCTTTGCCAGCCTTGTGGGCCTGCAACTCTGAGCAGGACACCAGCAGCTTCCATTTGGAACCCTCTTTGACTTGGATCTAGGATTGTTTTTTGGCAATTGTCTTCTTCAATGTCTTTTCAGGGGCACTTGCACCTGCAGGGGTTTGTGCTTGGCTTTGTTGCAAGCCAGTGCTTTCTTTTGCACTTGCTGTGGGTTTGCAAGCTGGTTTCTTATGTGGGTGGCTTTCTTGCAAGCCATCTGCAGTGGTTGTTGCCTTTGCTTTTGCATTGCCAGCTGCAGCAGGGTGTTTTTTTGTTTTGTTGCCTTTAGCTTCTTTTTTTCTCCTCTCTGCCTCAGCACAATGCCTTTCTGGAAACTGATGGCATGAGTCCTGAGCTTCTTCCAGCAACTTCTGCTGTAACCCTTGAAAATCAAGCCTTTTCTTCTTAGGGCAAAGTGTAGGCAAAACTGCAGTTGCCTTCTCAGCAGGTTTGGCTGGGCTGTCATGCACACTGCTGGCTGATGGTGTGTTTACACCTTTCAGCATTGTAGGAAAACCTTGGCTGTCTAAGCTGACAGCAGACACTTCTGCCTTTAGTTTCCTCTTTGTGGTGACAGCTGGCTGGCTGGGCTCTCCCCCACCCCTTGCCAGACCAGGTTTCAATTTGGAAAGCTTTTGCACAATCTCGCTTTCAGCCTTGGTTGCTTTTGCCAAGCAATTCTGCAACCTTTGGGGCTCATACCTCAGCCTCCTCCAATGTGCCAAAAGTGTTGCCATGGAGGTGGCTTTGTTCATGGACCAAATGGAGACCTTGTAGGTGGTATCATTGCAGGAAGGAAACTCAGAAATCACTTGCTGCAATTGGGTGGCTCTTATTTCACCATTTGAAATATCGACCAGCTGCTCAATGAGCTTTGCATTTTGGCTTAAGCCTGCTGGGTGGGGGTGGGTTGATTTGGTCAAAGTGTTGTAAACTCCCAAATCAAAAGTTGCTTCCTTGAGGCTTTTGAACCTTTCTTTGAAAATTTCTCTTAAATCTTCTAAGTCCACCACTGGAATTGATTGCCTCCTGCTCCCACCCCTTTTAACTTCATTGGCCATTCCAATAGGCTTTATTTCAAGCCTATACCTTTGCAACTAGGCTGTATCTCAAGCCTGCACTTGAAAGTCAAAACAGGTAGCTGCTGCATGCAAAGTGATCCATGGGCCAGCAAACCAACCCTGTTAACAAGAATCAATTACAACCAGAAACAAACCACTAGACAAGTAAGGCTACCAAGCAAGATACAAACAACCAAACAAGGAAGGCCAACCAAACAATTGAACAAACAAATACTCAAGACAACCAGCAGCCACCCAAACCAACCTTTTGCTACCCTTTTCCAAGTCTTGCTTGCTCAGCGCCAGACTTTTTCTCAAGCCTATCCTTCCTTTCCTTTGTCTTTGCCACCACTGGTGGGCTTGCTTTTGGTGGGCTTGCTTTTGGTCTTGCCACCACCTTGGCCTTTTAGGCTTTGTTCCAAGCCTTTACCCTTTCCTTTCTCATCTTGGTGGGTGCCTTTTAGGCTTTCTTCCAAGCCTTTACCCTTTCCTTTCTCATCCCCACTGCTTCCAGCACCCTTGCTGTCTGGGACCCAAACCCACACCATGGTTGCCAGCTCTTTCTTACAGACTGGGCAACTGGGTGGCACCTCACAGCAAGGGCACCATCCTCCTTCCTCTTCTCCTGGCTTTAAGCTATGCCAGCCTCGCCTCATGTGGCATGAGCCCCAGTGTTGGCCTAGGGCTTCAAACTTCACATCCTTGGGCTGCTGCATAAGGCTTTGTTTCAAGCCTGAAAGAACAGGCTTTGTCTCAAGCCTACCAGTGCTACAGTTTGAGAGCTAAAACCTAAAAGAAAAGGCAACAAAAACAAGTTTAAACCCTGTTTGAAAAAATCAATCTGGATTGGAAAAAACCAATCTCCAGATTGGTTGCTCCAGATTGAATTTTTCAATCTGAGATTGGTTTTTGTTCGACCAGTTGGGATTGATTTTTTCAATCCAGAAAACCAATCTCTCGGCAACCAGACTAGACCAATCCAGATTGATATTTTTCAATCTAGGATCCTCAGGGGAGGTTGTGAAACACAAAGGTCGAGCCGTGCCCAGCATTCTAAATTCTGAAAAGGTCTTGCAAAATCGCTCTGGTAGCCATAGAGCTCGAAGCTACCTGGAGCGTTCATCCGGGCAGAGACGTCTGCCTTCAAAGCATCGAATGGCCGCTTGGCCGGAAGCTGAGGCAAGGGCTCGTCTGCAATGCCTTGTGGGGTCGTTGGAACTATTCTGGACAGGTCTGGCTGTCCATCATCATCATCACCTGTGAGGTCAACTGGCTGGTCTGGTAGCGCTTGAGGCGGTGATGGATCAAGGCCATGCGGTGTGAGCCACCCAGCCGCATTGTTAGGCGCACTCTCACCATCACCTGGATGTGGTGCTGAAGGTTGCGAAGGGTCAAAAGACTCTCTTTGATCTTGGATCGCCAGCGCCTCAGGTGGCATGTAAGGATCGGTCAGCGTGGCCGTCCTTTCAGTTCTTCGAACTGATGTGGGTGTCCTTGACCTGGCTGGTCGAACACGTCTGCTTGGAGTGAATGGGGCTGGAACAGGAACCGAAGAGGTGCTGTCAGCCTTTCTGCCAAAAACATTTTGGGTGATGTTCTGATGCATGTGTATGACAGTCTGTGGTGTTTGTGGTTCCAAAGGCTGTCCTGGATGATCCGGTGGATCTGGTTCTTCTGCAGCTGCTGGACTCTTCTTGGGCAGCGGCAGAACAAGTGGTTCATGTGGTGGTGGTTCATGAACCTCAGGTGTTGTCAGCGGTGCATCCACTGACGGAAAGTCTCCATCAGCCAGTTCAAAGGCTGCTGCATCTTCTGGCGGGATCTCGGGCTCCTCATCGGGCAATGGTGGCTCTGCCTCTGGAGGTAGTCGATGATCCTGCCAAAGGTCGCTGCGGATGTTGTCTTCTGCAGCTTTGAGCGCTTTGACATCTTCACGGGTTGGAACATACTCCTCATACCCAAAAACATTGCGCACTTGATTTGGTGCCACTTTGATGGTGTGGCTCCCGGACTGAATCCAGTAACTGCTGTTGTCTGGATCTTTGCCCAAGTATCTTGCAATTCGGTAGCCACCTCGTTTTCTGTGGCTTCTGACCGTCCATCTCCAGTAGGCCAAGAGCGACCCAGGTTCTGGTGGTTCAGCAGGCTGCTGATTGGTCTTCCTCAGCAGTGCACGTCTGAGGGTGGAGGATGCTTCGGCCAGGGCCTTGTAGGCCTCACATCTCATCATTGCGGCCTGTTGCTGTGCTTCAGACCTCGAAGAACCTGCAATCAAAGCTCTTGGGTCGTTGATGAAGTCAAGTCCTACCCTTGGGATCTTTCCGAAGGCAGCGATGAATGGAGGGCGACCTGAAGTCCAGGTTGCTGAGTTCTTGGAGTATAGGGCCGAGACGATTGCATTGTCTAGGTCCTCTGGTGTGCTGCATGGGGTTGAGTCAACGATCTTTTCCAGCAGCATTCGAAGTGTGCCGTTGTGGCGCTCTATGGTGCCCAGCTTGAAGTGAGCTTCCGGAGGGATGAAGTCCAAAAAGACTCCTCCTTCATCGCAGTAGTCCATGAAGTTGGACTTGAATGCGCCATCATCATCCACTGAAAGTCTCAGCGGGAATCCAAAGTTTCTCACCCAGGCATTGCGGAAGGCCTGAGCTAGGTGGATCGGCTGTCTGGAGTCCAGCCTGATTGCTGCGTGAAGATGTGTGGCTTCACATATGATGCCAAGGACTGGATGGTTCCTGGATGTGGCATCTCTGAGGTAGAAGATGTCTGCTTGCAAATTGTCTGCGAATTGTCCCAAGTACTGGGGATGTGATGAAGCTGGGTTTGGCGGCTTGGGAGGCTTTGCTTGTTCGCAGGCCGAACAAGTCATAGCCTTGGTGCACTTGATCACCTGGTCACTGGTAATGCCGTTCAAACAAAACAGCTTGATCGTCTCATTGGGCGGCAAATGTCCCATGTTCTTGTGCATCCTGGCAACTGACGCTTTGATGGTGCGATCGATGCCAGGGGTGTTTGGGAAGAAGATCTCATCGTGGAAGATCTCCTTGGTGGGATTCTGGCGGTGCTCTGCTTGTTGTGGCTCTTGGTCATGTAAGGCTGCTTCCTCTCCTGGAATGCCAAGATGCTCATCAGACAAGCTGGGATAGCCGTAGAAGAAGATTGCCAGTTCCACTGGAGCTTCGAATCTACCCCGTGGGAAATGGATGTCGGCTAGGTCCTCCGCCATGATGGAAAGGTCTTCTCTTCCCACAAACTTGAGCACATGACCTCGGTGTGTATGAGGCACATGCTGTGGCAGTCGTTGTACCAGTGGTCGCAAGCAAACCTGCAACCTCGTGATCTCCCATGGCAGTAGCTCTTGAATCTTCTTGTATAGGCCACTGGAGGCCTCAAGAATGATGTTGTTTGTTGAGGACGCATAGAGTTCTGGCTTGGGCGATCACGTCTTGCCATGGCTTCTGGTCCAACACTGGCTGGGTGAAGGTGGCATAAACCTTCTTGAGGTCGGATTGCGCTGCCTGGCCACGTATCGAACACCCTTGAGGATAGAGGTGATCAGGCGTTGAGGGTACTCCTGCGAGAGTGTGGTTTCTTTTCCCTCAAGTGGCACGCGCAACTTCAACTCTTCTGCTGAAAGCTTGTCCTGGAGGAAGGTGAGAATGTCCTTGTTGTTGGAGGCAAAACGAAAGGTCTTACGGATGGGGTTGCCTTTCGAGTTCATAGCTCCATAAGCCCCTGAATGGCAGGTGACTGTCTGTCCTCCGGTGTCTTGCAGCATGGATTGGACACTTTCCTCGTCCCACAAACGGCTAGTCTGAGGATTCTCTATGAGATAGTAGCGTCCTGCTTGGCGCTGCATTCGACACCACTGCATGGCTTCTTCAACAACAGGCCTCTCCAAAGCACGTCTCTCGGCCAGTTCTTCAGGCCTGTCCTTGTAGTTGGTGTTGTCCTGCATCAAGATCCATGGTGTGCAATGGAGTTCAGCAATCAAAAACAACGGAAGCAGCTGCCGGATGGTTCTACGGACTGCTGCCTGGTGATGTTCTGTTGCTAGGTCAAAACCTGTGCTGTAGTCCATGGGTGTGCATGCTATGAGGTCATGCCTGGTGGCTTGCAGTGAGATGCGTCCTCGGCCGGCAAACACTTCAAGTATATCGCTTCTTGAGCGATTGGTTTTGTGTTTTGTGGCTAGGGCCTCATACATGGTGCACTCTGCTTCGGCGGCTTTGCGAATCCTTCCCAGGAGCTCTTTCTGTTGTCCCGGCCTCATGCCGGCGCCGATGGTGTTCATGAGAACAGGTTGTTGGGTCCCGCCATTCCGACCCATTGTGCTCTGTCCTCTTCGTGCTTTGCCCAAGCGGGATCCGGACTGACCGACCGGATGGGTCCCTGAGTCTGGATGGGCTGTTGATGCTCCTCCCAGTTCCACTCCTCGTCCTGGCTGTTCACTTGACTGTCGTCCATGTACTCCTCCTCGTCCGAGTAGATCACGACTTGAGCCGCTTGAGATGCTTGAACTGCGTACGCCCCCAAGCTGCTCGAAGGTGGCCTCGAAGGATGGCGAGAAGAGGTCGCCATAGGCGGAGATGGGAGTGGAGCTGGCTGCGTCTCCTTGATGGCCTGAGGCTTGGCCTTGGCTTTCGGCTTGGACTTGCTCTGAGTGGCTGCCATAGCCTTGATGCCCTTGGCCTTGGATGAAGCCGCATGCAATGTACTTGAAAAGGAGGGCTGCGGCAAGGAAGATCTTTGCGAGACCGACCAACCAGCAGAAGCTTCCCATTCCTGCACGTCCGGGTTCCACTTGACTCGGGTGTGACATAGAGTGCAGGTGGCGTAACTGCCGTACTTGTTGCCGTGCCGTTTCCATTCGGGGTGCGAGCATTCTGTCGGCATCTTGAGAGGCTCGCGCTTCATCCGAGCTAGGGTCTTGTCGACCTCCTGCTGTGCCACGGTCTCGTGCAGTGTCATCCAGGCTCGTGTGAACCTGCCTGCTTGCAGCTTGACCATCTTGGACATCCATTGGAGTGAGAGCCACTCCAAACTCAGCAAGGTCTGGATGACCTGGCGCCATGCCTTCAACCATCTCGGAGGAGTTGGTCGCAACATCTGCGACTGCGAGAACGGTGGATGCTTTCTTGGGCCTCGTAAGCTGACGAAGTGCCGGCTCTTCAGAAACAATCTCCGGATGAGGGTCGTGCCAAAAAACGTTCATCAGACAAAACTTGCCAAACAGGGTTTCGATGAACATCCGGTGGAAAACATGCAATGTCAACTGTCAAATGACCGTTCAACTTGCACAACAGAAGCAAAACATCGATGACACCAAAGTAAATGCTTGAACTTGCAATGTCAATGACTGCTTGCATCGTTTCAAGAAAACATTGGATGCCAACAATGGGATGTTTGTTGCAATTGCACTTGCACCAATCAACATCAAATGATCTCCAAAAGCGACCGGCATGTAAACTCGGTCCTTTGCCTGCATAGGTGCTCCACTGCCGAACTGAAAAGCCTCAGCCGACGGCACCGTCTTGCAACGAAGTTGATGCTGATGAAGCAATGCTTTGTACCCGTCCAACCAGTTCAAACCCGCACATGTCCTCTGGCAAGCGGTGTCTATGACCATCTTCCCATGCAAAGGTGCACCTGCAACACAAACCTCATGAACCATCAATGTAACGAAGGTGAAGAAGTTGGGAACCGGTGCATCCTCCTGGTGGTGGCTGGTTGTGGACCCGTCAGGATGGTGGAGGCTCATGTACACCTTTTTCGGCGTACTCTTGCTGCCGTCTTTGGATTTGCCTTTGCCATCAGATTTTCCTTTGGAACTCTTTGGGCATTGGCTGTCTCCACTCCAGTGACCTACCTGTCCACAAGCAGCGCATGTACTTGTCTTCTTTCGCTCTTCAATCGACTTGGATCCACTGAACTTGCGCCCCAATGTAAGCGACTGCAACTTCTTTGCTGTCACCGTGAGGACCTCGGCAATGTCTGCAAAGGACTCTTCCGGCGCCTCTTCATCGGCCAGTTCCTGCTGATCGTATTGATCATCTTCTTGCTCGGCCTCATGTTCAGCTTCGGACTCATGAGGATCGTCTTCCTCTTCAATGGCTTCCAGCTGGTCGTCTTCGACCTCAGTGACAAAGGCGTGTTTGGCTTTGCCAAAGCCTTTGCCCTTGCCTTTGCCTTTGAAGCTTGAGGAACTCGATGAAGTACTTGTCGTGGATGAAGTCGATGGGGATGTGAAACTCTGTCTTGTTTTGATCGGTTGACCGTCCTTGCCAAACAACTGAGGTGGTGACTTGTGCTCCGGAAAACTCATGCACAAACTCTCAACGATGGCCTCATAGGCAAGGTTGTAGGCAGAACCGATCAATACCAATCTTTGGTTTTCTGGGCTCAACCTGCTTCTCTCGAGCAATCTGTTGCCTCGAGATTCGTCGTCGTACATCCCACGGATGTCGACGGAGACACTCTGCAGTGCTTGTTCAGCTCGTCGATACCGATTTGCGAAAGCCCTGACCGACTCCGACGGTTGTCGAACAATGCTTTCGTAGTCGCTCATCAGCTTCCGCTTCTGATAAACGAGACGAGTGGCCAGCCCTGATTTCAATGTTTGCTCAATGTACTCAATGCCTTCCGATGATGCCAACTTGTCCAAATCACAATGTTCCAACTCTTCTTCAGCCTCTCCAGTCAGGCTGGAGTAAAGCAAAAGCGCAGCGTCTTTGCGACTCATGAAGCTGGTGATTTGACGTTTCCAGATTTCCAGCTTTCTCTGCCACTTGGGAAAGCTGCGAAGATCATCTTTGGCATACTTCCAGGCAGGTGGTGGTGGTGGAGCTCCTGAACGATATCGAACTCCTCTTTCTGGTCCCTTTTGGGAGTTCCAAGAAGACGAACCTACAGAGCTCTTGGACGCTTTGCCACTGCCACCTTGGTCAACAGCACGCTGCAATGTGCGTACCAACTGTGCCAACTGCCTTGTCAAATCTGCATTGCTCTGTTGTTGCTGTTGTTGCGACTGGCCATCAAACAATGTACCATGCACTGCATTGCTCAATGTATCAACATTGCCAACTCCAACATCTTGTCGTGCTGCAATGTTCATAGCTCGATTCTGGGCTCTTTTCCTGGATCTGCGGCTGCTCCTCGACGTGGTGCCTCCGATTCAGCCTGCTCTCTGCTCTCATGGAATGGTCCCTCATGAGGTGAAGCATGGCCAACACGTGTCCGGTTATGATCGAACGCCTGCGACGTCGTGTCCGGCAGAGGGTCCAACGGAGGCGGATCTGAACCTGAACCATGGGATTGGGATTGCCGGGGGACATACATCCAAACGCCATTGTCTGTCTCTCTACGCTGGGATACAACAGCATTGTAGTAGTCTCCACTGCGGCAACTAGCGCATTTCCATCCCTCACCGGTCCAAGCAAAGGTGTCGTTCCCACAACTCCAACAACGCCAAGAGGGTTCCGAGGCCGTCTCAGAAACAGGCGAAGGGTCATCGTGGTCCTGGGGATACTCACCAGCGTCACCAAGCTCGGACAGAGCCGAGAAGTCGAACATCAGGCTCCGGTGCCAACTAGTGGCCCCTCGTGCAATGGGATGAAGGGCACTACAAAGGGGTGGTGGAACCAAACGCGGTCATGGCGCCACCTTTTATGCTAAAAGCGGATGCTTGGCTCGGGCCCTACGACCAACGGGAATGAGGGTCAACAGCAGCTAATGCTCATGCCATTGAACTTTCACACTGGGAATGTTTTCTTTCGACCCACATTCACGAAGGTGGATCACCGGCTTTTGAAGCCAGCTCAACAGGGTGTCGCGAAGGTCGGCTGACACCTTAGTCAACGAATCGGCCATCTGCAAGGCCGTCGGAATCCAGTGGATGGTGTTGCGGCTTACCACCTCCTGGATGGAGCGGATGTTGACCAGACTGCGTTTGTCTTCAACTGTCGGGTTCGGGCTTGAAACGCTGTCATACAGCGACTTGCAGTCAGTTGCCAACAAAGCTCGAAGGCGAGGGCCCACTCGGTGGGCAGCAACTCCAAAGACCAACTCTCCCAGCGCATACTGGACGTATGCCAAGCGATCTGCAGCACTGTCGGCTGATACGGCCTCTGCGGCCAACGTCGATCTGCATACTCGCTTGCTGCGAGAGCTCTTCCAGTACATGAGCCCACCATAGCATGGCTTCTCTGTCACGGTCGCTGGCGCCAGCGTGATAATCTGTCCACGCTGACTGGCGCTCCCCTGAGCGTTCGCCCAACTGGCGTCGGAGTACGCCATCACGACCGTGCTCTCATCAATCGGCCCTGGATACAGCCGGATGCCAAGCTTGGATGTATCCTTAACATGTTGCAGCGTCTTGTACAAACAGTCAAGGTCGGCATAGGTCGTCTCCTGTCCTCGATTGGACAATGAAACAGCTGATGAAATATCCAAACGTGTCTGGCCTGACAGCCACTGTAGGCAACCGCTGATCGACCTGAATTCCGGCCAAACATGGCTGGCAAGAACTTCAGCCTTGTTCTGCTTCTTTCCAACCTGTCCCATCTCAAGGTTGGTGATGAAGGTCTCTTGGACAATCCTGAGGGTCTGGACGTCGCCAGTCTGTTCCAGGTGAATTTCTTTGCCCTTGAAAACCAACGGTGAACCTTGTTCCAGAAACTGTTGCGAGCCCCACTTGAAGGAGTCAACAAACTGTTGGAATGGGAAGGAGGTGTTGAAGGTGATGAGGAAATCATCAACGTAGCAAATGAGAACTGCAGCTGGGCATGGTGCATTGTCTGGGTCAGGATACCAAAACATCATACGATCAAAACTGTGAACAATGAATCCCAGATTGACCAACCTCTTGGTGACTTCCTGTGCCCAAGTGGCGTTGCTGAGGCCGTACACATTTCCCAGTATCTCATACAGCTCGCTTTTGAAAACACCAGCTCTGATCAGCAAGGGATCTCGTGGTGCTTTGAGGTAAAGCTTGCCTGCCCTCTCGCTCAAGTCCTGCTGTCCTTGCAAGAACGCCGTGGATGCGTCCCCGGCCCACAACTTCCAAACCTTGTCACTCCGGAAGGCCTTGGAGTGCAATCCTGAGAGGAAGATGAGGAAGGTCATCATCTCGCTGACACGGGTTGGCGTTGGTGCTTGCCGTGTTAGGCTTTTCAAGTCAGGATCTTGATTGCCCCTTGCTACAATTCTGGTTTTGGCTTTGAGTGGTGGGACATTTTTGTTTTTGTCCCTGTAACAAGCCCTTGAAGAAATGACTCTCTTCTTCTGCTCGGGGTCGGAGAGGATGCGTTTCGTCTCTTCTGGAGGAACTGGTTTCAATGACTTCCACTCCAGAAAGCTGGTTTCCTCTTTCTGTGCCGATTCAATGAACTTCTGAATGTACTCTTCTGATTGCGACAAAATGTCGTGAAAACTCAACTCTTTTTCAATCTGCTTCTTCTCCTGCCTTGTGAGCCTTTTGCCAGTCTTGTAGTCATCAACATCGGTGTCTGAATCTGACAGGCGGCTCAGCAGGTCATCAACACTGGAGGCAAGTTGCTCGACGTAGACCTGGTAGTAGCGCTTGGTGGGAGGCAGGTAATTTTCATCTGAACCGTCCCATCCTGGCTCAATTTCACGAATGGTCTCGTCATAGCCGTAGTAGTAGTGGTTTGCCTCAGGTGGTGGAGTAAACCAAAACTCAGTGATGATGTTTCTTGGTTCTCCAAAATGGAGCTTGTTCTCTTCTTCTTCATCAGGGTCGATGACACCTTCAAAGATCAGTTCATTGGCGTTTGCATCAATGGTGCGACGCCATTTCACATAGCTCATCGGTGGCCCTGATGACATTGGGAGTTGAGGTTGTGAAACACAAAGGTCGAGCCGTGCCCAAGCATTCTAAATTCTGAAAAGGTCTTGCAAAGTCGCTCTGGTAGCCATAGAGCTCGAAGCTACCTGGAGCGTTCATCCGGGCAGAGACGTCTGCCTTAAAGCATCGAATGGCCGCTTGGCCGGAAGCTGAGGCAAGGGCTCGTCTGCAACGCCGTTGCGCATCCATGAGGACGTCTCGAGCCTGTAGAGGTAGAGTCGAGGCTCTGGTGTCGTTGGGACTATTCTGGACAAGTCTGGCTGTCCATCATCATCATCACCTGTGAGGTCGATGGCTGGTCTGGTAGCGCTTGAGGCGGTGATGGATCAAGGCCATGCGGTGTGAGCCACCCAGCCGCATTGTTAGGCGCGCTCTCACCATCACCTGGATGTGGTGCTGAAGGTTGCGAAGGGTCAAAAGACTCTCTTTGATCTTGGATCGCCAGTGCCTCAGGTGGCATGTAAGGATCGGTCAGCGTGGCCGTCCTTTCAGCTCTTCGAACTGATGTGGTTGTCCGTGACCTGGCTGGTCGAACACGTCTGCTTGGCGTGAATGGGGCTGGAACAGGAACCAATGAGGTGCTGTCAGCCTTTCTGCCAAAAACATTTTGGGTAATGTTCTGATGCATGTGTATGACAGTCTGTGGTGTCTGTGGTTCCAAAGGCTGTCCTGGATGATCCGATGGATCTGGTTCTTCTGCGACTGCTGGTCTCTTCTTGGGCAGCGGCAAAACAAGGGGTTCATGCGGCGGTGGTTCATGAACCTCAGGTGTTGTCAGCGGTGCATCCACTGACGGAAAATCTGCATCAGCCAATTCAAAGGCTGCTGCATCTTCTGGCGGGATCTCTGGCTCCTCATCGGGCAATGGTGGCTCTGCCTCTGGAGGTAGTCGATGGTCCTGCCAAAGGTCGCTGCGGATGTTGTCTTCTGCAGCTTTGAGTGCTTTGACATCTTCACAGGTTGGGACATATTCCTCATACCCAAAAACATTGCGCACTTGATTTGGCGCCACTTTGATGGTCTGGCTCCCGGACTGAATCCAGTAACTGCTGTTGTCTGGATCTTTGCCCAAGTATCTTGCAATGCGGTAGCCACCTCGTTTTCTGTGGCTTCTGACCGTCCATCTCCAGTAGGCCAAGAGCGACCCAGGTTCTGGTGGTTCAGCAGGCTGCTGATTGGTCTTCCTCAGCAGTGCGCGTCTGAGGGTGGAGGATGCTTCGGCCAGGGCCTTGTAGGCCTCACATCTCATCATTGCGGCCTGTTGCTGTGCTTCAGACCTCGAAGAACCTGCGATCAAAGCTCTTGGGTCGTTGATGAAGTCAAGTCCTACCCTTGGGATCTTTCCGAAGGCAGCGATGAATGGAGGGCGACCTGAAGTCCAGGTTGCTGAGTTCTTGGAGTATAGGGCCGAGACGATTGCATTGTCTAGGTCCTCTGGTGTGCTGCATGGGGTTGAGTCAACGATCTTTTCCAGCAGCATTCGAAGTGTGCCGTTGTGGCGCTCTATGGTGCCCAGCTTGAAGTGAGCTTCCGGAGGGATGAAGTCCAAAAAGACTCCTCCTTCATCGCAGTAGTCCATGAAGTTGGACTTGAATGCGCCATCATCATCCACTGAAAGTCTCAGCGGGAATCCAAAGTTTCTCACCCAGGCATTGCGGAAGGCCTGAGGTAGGTGGATCGGCTGTCTGGAGTCCAGCCTGATTGCTGCGTGAAGATGTGTGGCTTCACATATGATGCCAAGGACTGGATGGTTCCTGGATGTGGCATCTCTGAGGTAGAAGATGTCTGCTTGCAAATTGTCTGCGAATTGTCCCAAGTACTGGGGATGTGATGAAGCTGGGTTTGGCGGCTTGGGAGGCTTTGCTTGTTCGCAGGCCGAACAAGTCATAGCCTTGGTGCACTTGATCACCTGGTCACTGGTAATGCCGTTCAAACAAAACAGCTTGATCGTCTCATTGGGCGGCAAATGTCCCATGTTCTTGTGCATCCTGGCAACTGACGCTTTGATGGTGCGATCGATGCCAGGGGTGTTTGGGAAGAAGATCTCATCGTGGAAGATCTCCTTGGTGGGATTCTGGCGGTGCTCTGCTTGTTGTGGCTCTTGGTCATGTAAGGCTGCTTCCTCTCCTGGAATGCCAAGATGCTCATCAGACAAGCTGGGATAGCCGTAGAAGAAGATTGCCAGTTCCACTGGAGCTTCGAATCTACCCCGTGGGAAATGGATGTCGGCTAGGTCCTCCGCCATGATGGAAAGGTCTTCTCTTCCCACAAACTTGAGCACATGACCTCGGTGTGTATGAGGCACATGCTGTGGCAGTCGTTGTACCAGTGGTCGCAAGCAAACCTGCAACCTCGTGATCTCCCATGGCAGTAGCTCTTGAATCTTCTTGTATAGGCCACTGGAGGCCTCAAGAATGATGTTGTTTGTTGAGGACGCATAGAGTTCTGGCTTGGGCGATCACGTCTTGCCATGGCTTCTGGTCCAACACTGGCTGGATAAACCTTCTTGAGGTTGAAGCGTGTCGGATTGCGCTGCCTGACCACATATCGAACACCCTTGAGGATAGAGGTGATCAGGCGTTGAGGGTACTCCTGCGAGAGTGTGGTTTCTTTTCCCTCAAGTGGCACGCGCAACTTCAACTCTTCTGCTGAGAGCTTGTCCTGGAGGAAGGTGAGAATGTCCTTGTTGTTGGAAGCAAAACGAAAGGTCTTACGGATGGGATTGCCTTTCGAGTTCATAGCTCCATAAGCCCCTGACTGACAGGTGACTGTCTGTCCTCCGGTGTCTTGCAGCATGGATTGGACACTTTCCTCATCCCACAAACGGCTAGTCTGAGGATTCTCTATGAGACAGTAGCGTCCTGCTTGGTGCTGCATTCGACACCACTGCATGGCTTCTTCAACAACAGGCCTCTCCAAAGCACGTCTCTCGGCCAGTTCTTCAGGCCTGTCCTTGTAGTTGGTGTTGTCCTGCATCAAGATCCATGGTGTGCAATGGAGTTCAGCAATCAAAAACAACGGAAGCAGCTGCCGGATGGTTCTACGGACTGCTGCCTGGTGATGTTCTGTTGCTAGGTCAAAACCTGTGCTGTAGTCCATGGGTGTGCATGCTATGAGGTCATGCCTGGTGGCTTGCTGTGAGATGAGTCCTCGGCCGGCAAACACCTCAAGTCTGTCGCTTCTTGAGCGATTGGTTTTGTGTTTTGTGGCTAGGGCCTCATACATGGTGCACTCTGTTTCGGCGGCATGCCTTGCTTTTCGAATCCTTCCCAGGAGCTCCTTCTGCTGTCCCGGCTTCATGCCGGTGCCGATGGTGTTCATGAGAACAGGTTGTTGGGTCCCGCCATTCCGACCCATTGCGCTCTGTCCTCTTCCTGGACAGCTGTATGTACACCAAGTTGGTGTACGTAGGTCTTAGGGCCATATGGCCGTGAAAACCCCATATGGCCGTGAAAACCCATATGGCCGTGAAAACCCCATGTAAGTGGGCACATTCTTTGCTGACCTTTGGCAGGCTGAGTGCTTCAGCTGTTTTTCCAAACAAAAAACGTTCAGTGTGCATCAAACAGTATTCCAATGACTGGAAGCGTCCATGCACTTGATTCTTGTAGCGGGGTGGTTTATGCAGTGCATGAGGCTCAAGGAAAAGAGGCATCCTTTTCTTTCCCAAAAGGAAAGGATGCATATATGTGTACAAATATATATAGTATGTATTGTTAAAACAAACTGTGATGTTTTCACACCCTTTTGGCACCATCCAATTTGGTGCGAACGGTGCGCGGCGATCGATCCATGAAGTCTGTTTTGATGACGGTTGGTTTAACAAACTCTTTTGGGGAGCGTTCCCCAATCCATTGGTGCTGGCTTCGAACTTTGTCCGCCAGCGCATGCATGCACCATGTACACGCGTGAAAGCAAGATTCGATCGGTCAGCTCGGCCGCAGCCTTTGGTAGGGGTGGTGTTGGTGTGGTAGCGCATAGGTAGTGACGATGACCATGTTGAAAAACCATATCCCACTGCAGGGGAACATAGGGGTATTCATATCCAAGATTGTGCCATGTAATTTCACGAACTTGATGTGGAGCTTTTAGCAAGTCGCTGCCATGGTCTTGCGCAGCTCTTGCTCTCACGTACACGTGGCCTGCCTGGGCACCCAGTGAAGGTGAGACGAGCGCAAAGCGTCCAAGGAAGGATTGTGCTTCAAAGTGCTACAGCTTTCATCTAGAATCTAGTAAAAAAAACTAGGCTTCGATCAACCCTCCCTAGGATATCCTCTCATGACTTCACTTCGCCCAGCTCCTGTGGCCGGCCAAGGAGGTGGTGCGAACCGAAGGACATATTCCTCGAAGAGGTTGGCTCAGCCGTCTTGATGGTTTTTTCATTCCTGAGTTCCAAGATGAAGGTTTTAGTGGTGTGTAACCACTCCAGACCCCACCCTAGCAAATGATCTAGTCCCCCCGCTAGCCTTCACCATGCCAGGTTGGATGTCTGGCGCACTTCGCCTATACCATGTTGAAGGTGCCACAACCCGTGCCTGGTTCTTTTCGTTGCGAGCACATCGGAGCAGGTCAAATTGCAATTGAAGTGTTAGAAGGTGCTTTGTCCTAGCCATTTTGGCTGATGGGTTGATGGGAGAATGGCCGGAACAGGTCACTAGCATTTCTGGTTGTCATATATCCTGTAGCTGTGGGTGCTATGGGCCGATTGACGCAGATTTTTGCCACGTGTCCGGAAAGATATCTGGCTTTTGCTATGTGCTTCGAAGAAGATGATTACCTGAAGTCTGTTCCCTGCCAGCAAATGCTTATAACAAACCTGGCCATACAAGTTTTTGGCTTGATCTTTTTTAAATGTCTGTAGATATGTCAGCCCAACCTTCTTCAAGCCCTTCCTGAGGCTGGTCTTGGGTTCCTACACGACCACTCTGGACAGCTCTATGGACGCTCAAAGTGCACTTTGAAGGACATAGTGGTCAACAAACAGGCTGACCCTGGATATCTGTTTTTACATGTCTACGCAGTCTAGGGTCTGGTTGTTTTGTAGCTCACTCCCACCAGGCGGTTCTCGCTGTATTCCGGGGGCTGAAGAGACATCCTCCACCACCTGGCATGAACATTTACCGTTTGTCTGCCCACGAACTTAGCAAGAGCATTTTGGCGTTCTTTGATCACGGCCAACATTGGCCGAATGGGCTACATTCCCGCATTCCGGCTTGCGAAGAGTGGGCCTTGAAGAATGCAAGAGCATTGGCAAAATTGGTTCCCTGGTTGTTCATTCCCAATTTTTTTGAACACTGGTTTGCTTCTTTTTCAACTGTGAAAGGGGTGCTTGGACTGTCCGTGCGTGAATCTGGGCCCAGGTGGGTCGAATGAGACGCTTGATGTACCGGGCTCCCCGATCAAAGATGAAGAAGTTGAATGAAATCAGAGCAGAGATCACTGCTCTTGGATTGCCTTCAAATGCCTTTGAAGTTGTTTCTCGACCAAAACTTCACTTCTGCATGAAACGGTATTGTAAAGGAACCCTTTCTGAAACAGCAACAAATCACTTGGGAAATTAACAACAGTCCCTGGTGGTCCTAAGGAAGGGGATGCCAGTGATGACGGGGAGGAAGATTGTCTGTCCAAAGCCCCTTCGCAGAGTGTGAGCACCGACATCTCTGCCCTGTCCAGTCTCTCCTCCTCTAGCTCAAGGCCGAATGAGATCGATGTTCGCAGCCTGAGCAGGCAGGATGTGAGGATGACAAGAGCCATCCAGCAAGCACGGGAACAGTTGGCACTAAAGGCCAAGAAGAATTCCCCTCCAAGTTCAGCTTCAAGTGGGGCGATGGCTGGTCCTTCTAGTACTACTACCCCCAGTACAGCTTCTGGCACTCCTTCAGCTAGACCAAGTATCTCCGAAATTGTTGCCAGGGTCAAGGCCATGCGGGTGACTTCGGGAGTTGTGGGCACCCGTGAGCAACAGGGAGGGCAACAAGCGAATCCTGATCCTCCAACAAACCGTGCTTTATTACCAGCGTTTGTCCCTCTCCTACAGATACATTTTCTTTTTTTGGTGGGTGTTACTGGGCCCCTGCACCGCATGTAGCTTGGTAGACCTTTCGCCGCTCACCGTCTTAGGTATTGGCATCGATTGAGACGAAGATGAAAGAGGCAACAGAGCAGCCGAAGGTTGCCTTTTCGGCTTCAGCTCAGTACAAATGCAATATGCAGGCAAAAGGTGATGGGGGAGGGGATGATGATGATGAAGAAAAGGAACCGACTGGTAGTGGTGTTGTTCCTGTTTCCTTGGGCCACCCAAAGAAGAAGAAAAAGCGTCGGGCTCCCAAAAAGAAAAGAAAGAAAGTTGTCATTCCAAGTAGGTCTGAGTTGGAAGGGGATGGCGCGCCATTTGTTGAAGACACCAAGCTGGGAGAGGATACCAAATACCAGCCTGGCAATTTGAGGAAAATTCAAGAGGCCTATGTTGTTGACTTCCTTTCGAATGAAAGGAAGGCAGGCCGGCGCCCGTCCCGATCAGAGGCTATCGCCTCTTGGCATGGATCTTTGAAGCGTGCTCAGATCTTGTCCACCTTGAGTGTGGCGGATTTGAAAAGACGGAAGTTCATCCCAAAGGGTTCCACAACCAACCCTTTCAGGGAACGCATTGGCCAAATGGCCAGTTGAAGCGTTGGGGTCGCTTGCAAAACAATATAGGGCAACAAAATCCCTGATCTGAAACCCGTGATACCATACTGGCTAGTGGAATATACATATATCTATATATAAATATTTATTCGAAAAAGGATTCATATAGGGCTTGGGATCAGGGAGTCGGTGTCGGTGTTGCTATTTGTGCGTACAATTCTTTCACCACCTGACATGGAACTTGCCATGGGTAGTTCTTGTCAAGTCTGATTCGACCTGATCTGTAGCTTTTTGGGGTCCTTTGGGGTAGACCCAAGGGTTGTTGCGGTGATCCGTGAACTACCTTTAACATGGTGGTCTCTGACTTGCTTCGATGGAGCCTCCCACCAAAATTCGTGGCGGTGGTCTTGCTGCTTCTTTGGAACACCGCTGTGGTCACGACACAGGACAGGTATGTGCTTCATGGGCCCGGCCCTCTTGACACACCCCAGTTTCCCAGCAGGGAAAGGTTGAAGTTCCAGCAAGCTGTGTGGTTTATGTAGCATTTGGCGTTTGCCCTTCAGGATCTGGACTTCACCGAGTTGTTCAGTGGAGCTGGCGCTGTGACTCGTGGTTGTTGGGCGGCTACTTGGCCGCATCCGATCTGTGAAATGGGCTTTGAGTTCTAAAGTCTGAACCTTGATGCCTGTGCAAAGGAAGGTTTTAAACCACTTTCGCAAATCGGATGCATGCAAAAAGGAAACATAAGTAAACTGGTGGCCCTCCTCTTCACTTCACCCTTCACCCTTTGTGTTGTCCTCGCCAACCCTGCCAAAAGGGTTGGTTCTGAGGGCCCCGTGACTGACTGATGCTTGGTCTGCCCAAGGAAGGCCTGGATGGCAGTGCGATCGATACAGACTATGATGCAAGGTGTATGGACCTTTGCACCGACGCTGGATTTGCGCCCCTTGTTTGCGACATATCGCACGCACGCCTAAGAATCGTACTGGTGTGAAAAACGTGAGGACACAAAAGGTGAGGTTCTCTCGAACTTGTGAGAATTATAGTTCCATGCGTGCTTGTGGCTTCCTGAGGCTGAGCGTTGCCCAAGTACTTCGCTGCAAACCTGGAGGATTTGTGTTGATAGCTTTGGTCTGCTCATCCTTCTCTGTGATGCGCTGTCCCTAGTATGTGGTATGCACCGAAGCTGTTGCACTTAGTTTGATCTTTGGGAACCAGCCTGTGCATATAAGGAGTCGACATACATCTGGCAGGAGTTTTTTGACCCCAGAAGGAAAGGACCATCGGTTCGTGATTGAGGGGAACCTGCTATCTGCAAGAGTGGCTCTCATCATCCACCTTTGCTCAGCTAGAGGGCTTCGCTGGCTCCTAGAGCAACCTTCTCGGAGCATACTGAATGCTATGCCTTGGATGCAACGTCTTTGGGGGTATGTGCAGGCCTGCATAGCATCACCACTTTGCACAGCATCCCCACACCAACCCCTCTGTGAAACTTCTTGTGTATATAGGAAAGATGATATTTGACCTAAACTTATATACATGTTTGGTGTTTCCCCAGGCCTACCGGACAACGTTTTGGATGGGCAACTTTGGCCATGAGTCTCCGAAACAGCATGTGGTATGGTCAAACGATGAGGGAATGCTAGAGCTACTTCGTGAACGAGCTGGGTACATGAGCGCTGCTGAGCAAGCGAGTCGGGAATCGCAATTGGTGCGGTCATACATAGACTGCAATGGTAAACGTCGATGTGTAGGCCGCAAGAAAGAGTTGAAAAACTCCCAGAAACTAGAAGCAATTTTCAAATGAACTGTTTTCATTTTTGTGAAAATGTGTATGTACAAACTGCTCTTTTGAAGTGTTTGTCTTCACCAACTGTATTAGCTATCCAAGGAGATACCCTGATGACTTTGGAACATGGTTGGCCTCGGTGGTCAAGAACCGAAGTTGTGTTTCCTGGCAGGGTGAGGTAGAACCCACGACACGCAATCAGGCCCAGGCCCAGCCTTAATCGTGAGTTCGGAGCATCTCAGGTGTCCTTGCCACCTCCAAAGGACATCGTGGAGCTGGATTATGGCTTTTCAGATGCTGAGATTTTCCTGGATAAGTGCACCATGGTAGTGACCTCTGGTGATGGCATGCCTCTCCTGGGAATTTGCGGAGACCCATGCAAAGAAGTCTTTTGGCCAAGGGCTGGTTTTGGGGAGTGGAGAGGAGGGGCCACTAGAACAATGATATTTATGTCCCAATTGAAGATGGACTGCCTTTTCGTAACCTTAAGGCTTACCTGAAGTGAAGTAGAGTTGCAGGGGCCTGACAGGAAAAGGTGACCGCGTTTGATCGTTTTCCTCTTGGGGTGTGGGAAGAGTGTCCAATTGGCTCCCTGCTCTCAGGCTAAGATAGATCGCATCATCACCTATTTGATGAAGAGTTCACGGATTGACTATCCAGGAAACTGGGTCCGAGCCCTGGTCCAGTCATTGCGCTACCAATCACAAACCCTTTAATTTGCAAACGTTGAAATTCACTGCAGTACCTGCACGGGGAAAGTGTGCGAACAGAAAATTGGAAAGTGTTTGACTGGGGACTGAGTTCGAAATCTTTGCTGCCATCTTCCCGCCCATGATCAGATCGAGGAGGGGGAGATGGCTTGATCTCAGCCCTTGGATGTATAGCGTTTGTAGACGGTAAGATCCTTGCATCTTCTAAAGGAATGGATCCGGCTATTGATCGATGGGTTGGGGGTTCCGGCATCATCTCCAAAGGCCATTCTAATCAGTTTGATGGTTAAATAAGGCCCACGCATGTACTTGCCTACTATTCCGCTGATGTTGAGGGGAAATCTCTGCTGTCCCACTTCCACCCTGTTGCAGGAGCGGCCAGCCTACAGGCTGATCTTTTGCCTTTGATGCCCATCATGAGCCTTGGGCACGGGGAAGTGTCCGCAGGCTGTGCGAAAAGGTTTAGTGAGATCAGTGTGGATTTGACCCGATTCGAGCTTCGAACGGAATTGCCCGTGAAAAGCCGTGAAAGGTACGTGAAAACCCCGCTCATGTACGTGAAATCCCCGTGAAATCCGTGAAAATTTTTTGGGGCCACTCATGGGGGTTTGCGATCTTTTCACGGCTTTTCATGGGCTTCATGGGGCTGGCTGCAAGTTGTTGCAATTTCAGCTCATACATCTAGGTGGCTACCTATTTATCTTATAAGTTGAGCGCAGCTGTTCATCAGGGTTTCAAGCGGAGGTGTGGGCAATATGCCTCCTAAACTGAGTGGCGTCCTCATTGATGGCGCTTTGGCCGTTTTACGGGGAAAGATGAACGCACAGGGAGGCCCTGCACCTGAGGCTTCGGAAGGGGCGCCAACCCAGGTGTATCCGGTTGAACCGCGTGAAAAGGTTCTGCCTAAGAAAAGGGCCAGGCCTGCCAAGGCAAAGGCCAAGCCGCATGCAGAACCTCTTGTGGAGGAGGGTCGCCCTATCTATGAGCGTGAAGAGTTGGAAAACATGATGAGGGATTGGAATCTCTCACGTGAGGAAGCTTTGGTTGTAATGGAAGAGTTGCACAAGCCTATGGATTCCTCTGGGCAGGACCCCACGCCAAAGGCTCCTTCTGAACCAGCAACTGATGCTGTTGTTGAGGAACCAGTAAAAGGGAGTGAACCCAAAAAGCTTCCTCGTAAGCGTCCCCGGCAGGAGTCAGCGCAGGCGAAGTGTTGTGCATGTTTTGCAAAAAGGTTGACAGGACACACCCTTTGGTTTGTGTCCTGTCAACCTCTCTGAAAGCTACACTAATTTTCACAAGTGTTCAAGAAAGCTCAACTGCAATAAATGAACTAGAACTGCATTCCCTTTCCATACGCGTCCCAAACCCGGTGGTTTCCACTTCAATCCCCTTGAGGCAAGCCCTATTGATTTGGATGCCTCCAGCGAAGTCAGTCAAGCAAAGGATGGTGGATTGAAAAGATCTGGGACCCAATCGTGTCTTGTTGGTATAGTTGGAAGCCATGCGGCCCTGTGAATGGTTTCCCACCAAACCCACCACAGGGTTGCCTATTGGACATCTAAGGTCAGTCACCACCTTGATTCTTGGGCAATCCGCCGTCGAGAAGCAGATCACTGCCAGGGCGCTGGCTCCTCAACCCAAAGCTCCATCTCCGGCTCGCCCGGCACCAACACTGCCTGACCCCACGGACATGCATGACAGTCAGTTCACAGAGTCTCTTGATCTATATATAGTCGGTGTTGATTGAACAATTGAACTTAATGTCGTCTGACAACTATATTATTTTTTGGGCAAGGGTTTTCTCTTTGTTTGTTCTCTCCCAGTGACAAAGGTTGGGGCCCAGTGCATCGGAGATCGGGACTACGCCGATGGTTTCTGAGGAGGAACTCCGCAGAAGAAAGCGCCTTGAAGCTGCTATGGCAAGGGAGCGAGAGGCTCGTTTAGAGAGAGAACAATTGCTCAAAGAGCAAGAAGATGCAGAGAGAGAACAATTGCTCAAAGAGCAAGAGGCTGAGCACAAGCGTGCTCGTTTAGAGGCAGCTCTGAATGCACCCCCATCCCAGAAGAAGGCCATTGCTTCACCAGCGCCGGAGGCTCCAGCCGGAGTGGATGATGAGAACTTGGATGGAGAGGAATGCGAAGAGGAGGAACTTGTGATTGATCCCCCCGTGGATCCTGGTCCGTCAGTGGAACCCGCTCGATCAGCTCCCAGGCCGCCGGCATTGGTTCCAGCTCCCTTGCCTCCTTCTCGCCCAGAAGACAACCCTGGGGCTGTGGAGAAACCAGAGAAAGTCAATTCGAGCACCCACAAGAAGGAGTGGATGCACTTGGATCGGCTTGTTGCGAGCCAGGGACACACTTTGCCTGGCATGGCTGAGATGTGGAACAAGTCGACAAAAGACACTTATGGGCAGTCTAAAAAAGTTTGATTGTTTTTTGCTCAATGACCCCTGGGCATACATGGCATGTAATCTATGGTATCCCAATTTCTGCCCTTATAGTCGAAATGTGATGGCCCAGGATCGGAACATTGTCTTGCGGAAGTTCCTTGAGAGTGGCCGCAACGCCGAGGCATGTGAGGCGTCTGTGCAGCTCTCACGCGATGAGATTGACAAAGTCAAGAAGGGCATGGTGCAAATGACGCTGCAAGATATGATCGATGCAAAGTTCAGTCAGAACTTTGGTCGACATGAATATCGTTTTGCATCCTTTTTTCTTGACATGGTGCTTCAAGATGATTTCATCCTGGGTAAGTTTGTTGTGTGAGGTGCACTCTTCGGGGGCCTCGAAAAACCATGTAAGCAACTGTTCTTCTGTAGGTCTCCTTTAATTGGCGGTTTCTCTGAGGCAGAAAATTGAGAGCATCATTCGACGTGGCCACGCCGAGTGCGATCCGGATGCACCTGATGATGCAGAGAGTGTGCTCTTCTGGTGCAACAAGAAGGGCGAGGTCACTAATGTGGCCCAAGTGACCAAGACCCAAAAGCTCAAGGTCCAGGGACGCCCGTCTGAAGCTTTTGCTAATGAGATGGCATCCCAGAGTGTGACGCCTGCTGCTGTGCTAGCCTTGGGTTTGGGGGATGCTTCGGCTTCGAAGGTGACTGCTGACGCATTGCTCAAGGCGTCCCGAGAGCTTGCCTCAGGACCACTCCCTTGACCACATGCTCAGGCATATGTATATACATAGGGGGTTGTCGGTGCTAGTTAGTAAGGTTTATATATTACTTCATTTTGCAAAGCGAGGATCTTCTGGGGCTTCTGCTGGAGCTTCCAAGGGCAGTGGTGGTGGTTCCCGCGCCAAAGCACTGCCCAAGAAGAAGGGAACTGCCAAAGTTATCCCTCAACAGAAGATGACGCCCAATGAGATGAAAACTGAGACCCGCCATTTGTCTTATAGCAGTTGGCACGCAGTCCTTCTGTGATGTTGCTTTTTTTCAACTCCTTCCTGCCGATAGATAGCTATATATATATATGTGTGTGTGTCTTAAGATGTGTCTTTATACTATCTCAGGCAACCAGCTGAAGAGAGAGCTCAACGCTAACAACATGGTCTTGCTCGACCTGCCCACAGGACATGATTTGCGGAAGAACTTGGAAACCACGCAAAGCCAATACCAACAAATCCTGGAGAAGTCTGCTACTCATTTGTTTTGACCCCAAACTAGGTGTACTGTACTGAATGCACCTTTAAACTGAATGGTCCAAGGTTGTTGAGCACCTCTGACCCGGGGGAGATCAGTGATTTTCACGCGCAAGCTTCTACTTTGGCGCCTCGTTGAAAGCTTGTTGTCTGATTCAAAAGTGGGGGGTTATGGGTCATGTCTCCCGGTTCTCTTCAGGTGGACGCAGCGCGACTCAAAGCCCAAGCCAGAGCTGTGGCCAGTGAGTTGCGCAAGACTGAGAGCTGAGGAGTTCCGAGTTTCCAGCTTTATGGACTCCCCACAGGGTTGTTGCTCGGGGTGGACGGCTTGAACAAACCGATAAAAATTAAGTCAAAAGTCTTGAGATGGCTGAAGCCAACTAGCTTTGTTTTTGGAAGCGTTTGTGTATTCAACCAGGGTTCCAAAGTATAAGCTCCAAGCAACTCGTGGAGACCAGGCAATCTGATTTTGAGTAGAAGACGATGTCTCTTCAAGGGGTAAATCCTCCAATCCGTTCACCGCTGGAGGAAAGAACCACAGTCACGGAGCTTCGCTACCCTGAGTCATCCACCCACATGTTGTGATTTGATCCAATATGGTGTGATAGGCCCATGTAAACCTATTGTGCGCAGGTCGTGGATCATCGTCGTCTTCTTTTCTACGTGATGAATTAGATGATGTGCTCCTTGCCTTATTATAATCACTGGCCCAAAGTCCCAACGAGCAAGAGTTGCTACTGATTCGAAACGAGCTAGAAAACATGGAAACATGAAAACATGAGATTCATTTTGTGAAACATGAAAACTGAGATTCTTGAATGCCATTGGATCTGGTGATGTGAGCCTCAAATTCGCCCACAGCGCTGGAGCAATCTATGGGTCTGAAGCCATCCGGACCCCTGGCTGCACACCTGGCCTCCCACTCATCCTTCTCAGCCCAAGCCATGGAGTGAGACCATGACAAAACTAGGCAGCTAGGGGTGCAAGTGCATGGTCTGCCTAAGGACTGATCGAGAATCTGACTTTCATGCGATGGCCCGGAAGCATGGGATGTCTTTGGGCTGTGAGCTTTCCTATGTGCCACTGCCTGTGGTCACCGGGGAAGATGAGAACGGTGACCCTGTTGTAGCGCTCGAGAACTGGCCGTTCATACTTCCGCATACCTACGTAGCTGATTTTGCAAAACAATCGTTTGTGTTTGAGGGTTTGCCCCGGAAAGTCTTGGTAATGGACGGCTACACCTGACACCGATGAGTTGTTGGTGGGGCCCAGGTACAAGCAATGCTTGATGCAGGATACCATGACCATCTGGTTAGCTACAGGGACCATGCTGTATACTGGCAAAACATGAAGCGTGAATATCCTGACCACCCTGTAGCTGCGCATCCAGATCGCTGGAGGCATTGTTTTGGGGCCACCTTGTATGGCAACTTTGGCTAAACTGTGATTTAAAAAAGAGACCTTTGCAACTTTGGGCTTCCTTGGGTGTGGGTTTCCTTTAAAGAAGATCTTAGGTTTGGGAGTTCCTGTTTTTTCATTGGCCAAAGGTGATGAGGCAACGGCCAACAACGAATCCTGGCTTCACTTGCTCTGGGTAAGCGACCACAGTCCTAACCCAACCAATTCCCTTGTATCGAGAAACGTCATTGCAGTGATTCCTTCCAGTCGATATGTCTATGATGAAGAGACTGGCCGAAATATGACTGTTCAAACTGCCCTTCACGCCGTGGTCAACAGTTTCAATCAACTCTCCACAGTTGGAGCGCAAGTCGTTGACCCCATCTCAAAAGAAGTGGAACTTTGATTGAATATAGTCAAGGTTTGATGTATTTTCCACTCTAATTTGTGGTGGTGCCAACGATATGCCATGAGCCACTGTTTCAAAATTAGCGCGGCGCTGAACCGAGGTTGCTGAGCACTTTTGGTATTGCATGGGTGTGAGAGGGGACTGGAAGGCTTTCTGCCAGATGCTGTGTCTCACGCGCGAGCCCGCCAAGAACGAGGCTGTGTGTTTCACAAAAGCTTGGTTGTAGTTAACTTGGTAGGTCAGGGTGTGCCAAACAAGTTTAAGTTCTAATTTGTTTGCCCTGCAGGTGTGCTGGATTTGCCACGCTACTAAGGGAAATGACGGAAACCTAGACCTAGCATACACCAACACGGAGTGTCGCTGGAAAGGAACTGAATATCAAAGCCTTCCATGGGACCATCCTGACCCAGTGCTTACAGAGCTTGCAGGATTCGATATAAGAATGGCACACCCTGACCTGCTTCATTGCTGGCACCTTGGTGTGGGCAGAGACCTCTTGGGCGCAGCTTTAAAGGTTCTTATCAAGAGCCAGTATTTCCCTGGTCGGACCCACAAGCAAAGGCTAGCAGCAGCAACTTCCAGTTTGAAGCGCTTCGTGAAGAACCACAAACTCAGTTTTTCAAAGAAAAAACTCTCAAAACCAATGATGAATTGGACTTCCCATGAGTTCCCCGAGCTGCGAACAAAAGGTGCAGATACTTTTGCTATCGGTATGTGGCTAGCCCACCTTGTGGAGACGAACCCTCCCGCTGGATTGAACGATCTGTCGACGGCGCTTTGGACAAGCAACAACGTGCTCACAATTCTTGCGAGGAACAAGACATTTTTCCTCTCGGACCAAGAGCGTCACCAAGTGAATGTATTGGGGAGGTTGTTCATCGACACCTACATCCGTCTAGCCCATCAGGCGATCCTTTCTGGCGAACGGCTGTATCGAACGCGGCCTAAGTTTCATCTTGTGCAACACGTTTTCCTAAGTGAAAGGAGTCTTAACTATCAGAGATATGCTACCTGGGTCGATGAGGATGCCAATAAGAAACTCATGAAGATCAATCGATCTACTCACCGCCGAACAGCGGCCAAACGTGTGCTGGAGCGTTGGCTAGTTGGAGTGCCAACTAGGTTGGCGAAGCTTCGAAGCTAAAGGCTGGAAGAAAAATTCCTGCGATGCCCTTGAAGGGCGGGAGAGGGTGGGTGGTGTTCATTTTGCACTCTTTGTTCTTTTCATTGAGTTTCAACATATATAAACTATACAATCCCCTGGCTCAAGCTCACCCTACCCCGTGAAAACCGTGAAAACGGTATGGCCGTGAAAATTTGGTATGGCCGTGATTTCAGCTTTTCATGGACGTGAAGGCTATGTACTCCAGAAATGTAATCGTACAGACCTCCAGGTTCGTGCTTTGCCCAAGCGGGATCCGGACTGACCGACCGGATGGGTCCCTGAGTCTGGATGGGCTGTTGGTGCTCCTCCCAGTTCCACTCCTCGTCCTGGCTGTTCACTTGACTGTCGTCCATGAACTCCTCCTCGTCCGAGTAGATCACGACTTGAGCCGCCTGAGATGCTTGAGCTGCGTACGCCCCCAAGCTGCTCAAAGGTGGCCTCGAAGGATGGCGAGAAGAGGTCGCCATAGGCGGAGATGGGAGTGGAGCTGGCTGCGTCTCCTTGATGGCCTGAGGCTTGGCCTTGGCTTTCGGCTTGGACTTGCTCTGAGTGGCTGCCATAGCCTTGATGCCCTTGGCCTTGGATGAAGCCGCATGCAATGTACTTGAAAAGGAGGGCTGCGGCAAGGAAGATCTTTGCGAGACCGACCAACCAGCAGAAGCTTCCCATTCCTGCACGTCCGGGTTCCACTTGACTCGGGTGTGACAAAGAGTGCAGGTGGCGTAGCTGCCGTACTTGTTGCCGTGCCTCTTCCATTCGGGGTGCGAGCATTCTGTCGGCATCTTGAGAGGCTCGCGCTTCATCCGGGCTAGGGTCTTGTCGACCTCCTGCTGTGCCACGGTCTCCTGCAACGTCATCCAGGCTCGTGTGAACCTGCCTGCTTGCAGCTTGACCATCTTGGACATCCATTGGAGTGAGAGCCACTCCAAACTCAGCAAGGTCTGGATGACCTGGCGCCATGCCTTCAACCATCTCGGAGGAGCTGGTCGCAACATCTGCGACTGCGAGAACGGTGGATGCTTTCTTGGGCCTCGTAAGCTGACGAAGTGCCGGCTCTTCAGAAACAATCTCTGGATGAGGATCGCGCCAAAAACGTTCATCAGACAAAACTTGCCAAACAGGGTTGCGATGAACATCCGGTGGGAAACATGCAATGTCAACGGTCAAATGACCATTCAACTTGCACAACGGAAGCAAAACATCAATGACACCAAAGTAAATGCTTGAACTTGCAATGTCAATGACTGCTTGCATCGTTTCAAGAAAAACATTGGATGCCAACAATGGGATGTTTGTTGCGATTGCACTTGCACCAATCACCATCAAATGATCTCCAAAAGAGACCGGCATGTAAACTCGGTCCTTTGCCTGCGTAGGTGCCCCACTGCCGAACTGAAAAGCCTCAGACGACGGCACCGTCTTGCAACGAAGTTGATGCTGATGAAGCAATGCTTTGTACCCGTCCAACCAGTTCAAACCCGCACATGTCCTCTGGCAAGCGGTGTCTATGACCATCTTCCCATGCAAAGGTGCACCTGCAACACAAACCTCATGAACCATCAATGTAACGAAGGTGAAGAAGTTGGGAACCGGTGCATCCTCCTGGTGGTGGCTGGTTGTGGACCCGTCAGGATGGTGGAGGCTCATGTACACCTTTTTCGGCGTACTCTTGCTGCCGTCTTTGGATTTGCCTTTGCCATCAGATTTTCCTTTGGAACTCTTTGGGCATTGGCTGTCTCCACTCCAGTGACCTACCTGTCCACAAGCAGCGCATGTACTTGTCTTCTTTCGCTCTTCAATCGACTTGGATCCACTGAACTTGCGCCCCAATGTAAGCGACTGCAACTTCTTTGCTGTCACCGTGAGGACCTCGGCAATGTCTGCAAAGGACTCTTCCGGCGCCTCTTCATCGGCCAGTTCCTGCTGATCGTATTGATCATCTTCTTGCTCGGCCTCATGTTCAGCTTCGGACTCATGAGGATCGTCTTCCTCTTCAATGGCTTCCAGCTGGTCGTCTTCGACCTCAGTGACAAAGGCGTGTTTGGCTTTGCCAAAGCCTTTGCCCTTGCCTTTGCCTTTGAAGCTTGAGGAACTCGATGAAGTACTTGTCGTGGATGAAGTCGATGGGGATGTGAAACTCTGTCTTGTTTTGATCGGTTGACCGTCCTTGCCAAACAACTGAGGTGGTGACTTGTGCTCCGGAAAACTCATGCACAAACTCTCAACGATGGCCTCATAGGCAAGGTTGTAGGCAGAACCGATCAATACCAATCTTTGGTTTTCTGGGCTCAACCTGCTTCTCTCGAGCAATCTGTTGCCTCGAGATTCGTCGTCGTACATCCCACGGATGTCGACGGAGACACTCTGCAGTGCTTGTTCAGCTCGTCGATACCGATTTGCGAAAGCCCTGACCGACTCCGACGGTTGTCGAACAATGCTTTCGTAGTCGCTCATCAGCTTCCGCTTCTGATAAACGAGACGAGTGGCCAGCCCTGATTTCAATGTTTGCTCAATGTACTCAATGCCTTCCGATGATGCCAACTTGTCCAAATCACAATGTTCCAACTCTTCTTCAGCCTCTCCAGTCAGGCTGGAGTAAAGCAAAAGCGCAGCGTCTTTGCGACTCATGAAGCTGGTGATTTGACGTTTCCAGATTTCCAGCTTTCTCTGCCACTTGGGAAAGCTGCGAAGATCATCTTTGGCATACTTCCAGGCAGGTGGTGGTGGTGGAGCTCCTGAACGATATCGAACTCCTCTTTCTGGTCCCTTTTGGGAGTTCCAAGAAGACGAACCTACAGAGCTCTTGGACGCTTTGCCACTGCCACCTTGGTCAACAGCACGCTGCAATGTGCGTACCAACTGTGCCAACTGCCTTGTCAAATCTGCATTGCTCTGTTGTTGCTGTTGTTGCGACTGGCCATCAAACAATGTACCATGCACTGCATTGCTCAATGTATCAACATTGCCAACTCCAACATCTTGTCGTGCTGCAATGTTCATAGCTCGATTCTGGGCTCTTTTCCTGGATCTGCGGCTGCTCCTCGACGTGGTGCCTCCGATTCAGCCTGCTCTCTGCTCTCATGGAATGGTCCCTCATGAGGTGAAGCATGGCCAACACGTGTCCGGTTATGATCGAACGCCTGCGACGTCGTGTCCGGCAGAGGGTCCAACGGAGGCGGATCTGAACCTGAACCATGGGATTGGGATTGCCGGGGGACATACATCCAAACGCCATTGTCTGTCTCTCTACGCTGGGATACAACAGCATTGTAGTAGTCTCCACTGCGGCAACTAGCGCATTTCCATCCCTCACCGGTCCAAGCAAAGGTGTCGTTCCCACAACTCCAACAACGCCAAGAGGGTTCCGAGGCCGTCTCAGAAACAGGCGAAGGGTCATCGTGGTCCTGGGGATACTCACCAGCGTCACCAAGCTCGGACAGAGCCGAGAAGTCGAACATCAGGCTCCGGTGCCAACTAGTGGCCCCTCGTGCAATGGGATGAAGGGCACTACAAAGGGGTGGTGGAACCAAACGCGGTCATGGCGCCACCTTTTATGCTAAAAGCGGATGCTTGGCTCGGGCCCTACGACCAACGGGAATGAGGGTCAACAGCAGCTAATGCTCATGCCATTGAACTTTCACAGATGGATCCAAATTTGGGGCATTCAAAAAAGTGCCCATGAAGTGATGCTTTGCAGAATGTACTATGCACTGCATGCAACACATTACATCAAGAAGCTTCATGCTAGATTGAATGAATTTATGGGCGGTTTTGTTTTTGCCAGGCCCCAATGTGGAGGTGAGCAAGACAGTCCTCCATATCGCTAAGTTGTACGGAAAGGGAGTGTCTTGTCTATCCCAAAATGACCAGTCATGTGCCTTGCATATTGTGTCAACAAACAGGGATTCATTTGATACCGCTTATTGTTCAATTACTGCTTCGACCAAACTATACGGTTCTTGCAGAATCTCAGGCAAGTGCTTTGGATTGTGTGGAAGAAGCGCAAGCTGCTGTGAAACACGATCGCTGTCCCATCTTGCAACAGATTGCCAAAGCGAATCAACACAGCGCAGATGAACCGTGGTTCAAAAGCGCTTGCTGGTTGTGGCTTGGCCATGGATTTTCAGATTATAGATCTACAATTGGATGACCTGCGATTCCCTTGCTGCCCACCCAAAGAACAGTTAGAAGTTAGAAGCCATTGCTGCAAAAGGTTACTTTCACAAAATCCTTGGCCTCCCTGTTGCATATTCAGACGACGTGCTGCCTAAATTTGGGCAAGAATGAGAAAGCTCTATCCACGGCACGACATATTCAACCAGCATCCTCCGGTAGACTACTCACATTTGCTGCCGTTCTATTTGCATGGTGACGGAAGACGTACCTACAAAAAAGATCCAATATTGATTTTGAGTATGTTTCCCGCCTGCGGAGATGGTACTTCCAAGAACACCGCTGAGCTGCAACCTGTGAAGCGACCTCGTTTGTCTGCATCCGCATCGTCAAGACCGACTGAGGGCTGCATCACGTATGAACCAGGTGTCAACATGCTTGGAAACAGCTTGACAGACAGGTTTTTGTTTACAGCAATGAAAGCTGAACTGTACAAGGACAAACGCAGCAGATTTACTTGCCTGCTTGACACTTGGGGGAAGCACTTGGGACAGCTATTTAATGAAGGTTTCTGCTTCAACGGGGAAACTTGGAAGGTTGCAGTCCTCGGTCTCACTGGCGATGCACCATTTTTGAGGGAGGCGGGAAACCACATCCGTAGCTTTTCCAATGTTGGAAAAAGCGCTACAGCAACACGATTGAAAGGAGTCTATTGGCTCTGCACTGCAGGGAAGTCTGGTGGCCCGCCTTTCGAAGATGTCCGTGTCACCGCAGATTGGACCAAGCACTGTGGCCCTCACAACCCCTTACCCTGGGATACTCCTGGTCCTTTGTTGGCCCATTTGCCAGTCAATGAGGATGATGTC